TTTGAGACAGGGTCTCGCTATGCAGTTCAGTCTGGCCTTGAGCTCACTTTGTAGCCCAGGCTGCTCTTGAACTCGCAACGATCCTCCTGCCTCAGCCTCCCGAGTGCTGGGATTACAGGCATCTGCCACCACGCCCAGCTTCCCCGTATCTTTTAGAGAATACAGTTCACACTGTAATATCAAATGGTAAGGTAGCTGTAGATTTATACTAAGTAATAATCACTGGAAGGAATATTCAGACTACAGTATGCCCTACTCTCCTGAGTGTTTACTTCCTACGCCTCTTGTGCACCCCAAATTCTACCGGTGGACATCTCAAAGGCCACGGCCAAGGCCACAGCCCAGGGGCTGCCATGCCATGTGCCTGCAGACACTTCTCCAGCTGACACCCAGACTGAAGACCATGACTTAACACATTTTGTCGTAAAACCTCGTGAAAGGAAAAAAGTCCCGGGAAATCATGGACCAAACCAATTGGCTTGCTGTCTGTATGTCTTTGACATTACCCCGTAAGACTGTGGAGGAAGCAGGAGGCATCCAGGGAGGTCCGTCTGATCCCGCCTGGCGTATTTCAAAGAAACTGTTGATAATGGCATCGGGTGAAACTGTCCCAGGCAAACTGGACATACAGTCACTCTCTCTGGGGTCAGTCCTCAGACCTCTAACTATACCCATTCCCCTGGCAATCTCATCCAATCCTGAGATTTCTAACACTGATAACTAAAGGTGAAGTTTGTGATCCAGCCCAGTCCCTTCTCCAGGGACCTTTTCAGGGAGACATTCCACTAAGACAGCAATAGTCATGCAGGCGGTTGGTGGAGCTCTTGCCTGGCATGCATAGGCCCTGCGTTTGATCCCCAGCATAAATGTATACAAATAGAGTAATAAAAATAGCACTATTCCCTCTCCCTCCACATCTCCCAACTCCGTGTTCTCTCATTTTTTCTCCATAACAATGTATCCCCATGTGATGAATGTATATGTGTGTTTATTCTTTTTACTGGAGTATGATGTAATATAGGAAAATTTGCGCTTATTGTAACAGCTGCAGGGTACACTCATGGATCCAGCATCCAGGTCAGGGAATGCGCGTTGTTGTCCCCGAGGGCCCCTCACATACCAGTTACCGTTACCCACCCTCCATGGAGCCGTTATCATGGTATTGGCCAGTTCCCTCTATTTTGCACCCTATATAAACGGAATCACCCTCTTTCTGTTTGCCTTCTTGATCACAACATTCCCTTTGGGAGGCCCAGATGCAGTGCTGTGTGTAGCTGGAGACTGTCCGTTCCCGGGGCCGGTGGATGCGACTGGCTGCTGGTGACCGGCACTTGGGCAGTTTGCAGTTGGGACTACTACAAGCCTTTTGGTGAACACTGTATGCCTTTCCGTTGGTGATGCATGACATTTTTAGCTTATTTGTGTATCAGCTGTCATGTGAACAGCACAAGGCACAGGTTTTTCTTTTCCTTTTTTTTCTGGTACCAGGAATCGAACTCATGACCTCGCGCTTGCCAGGCAGGCGCTGTGCCGCTGAGCTAAATCCCCAGCCCCTTCTTTTCCTTTGTTTATGGCCGGGTTCCCAGTGTCTAAAATAATGTTTGGCAAATAGAAGGTGTTCGGTGTTATTTGTTGAATGAATGAATGAATGAAATCCTTTTCTTGCTCTTACTTTATTGATCAGAATAGTTATGAACCAATTCTTCCCTCTCTGTAAGGAATGTAGAATTCACTTCTATATTTTGTTTTAAATACCCAATATGGAACCTCCAGCAACACAGGTAGCAATTCATCCTGGGAAATTTCAATATAAACTTCTGCCTCTAGAGAACTCACTAAAGCTACTTACCATCTGGTAGATACATAATCAGTGTATGGTGGCTGTGACCTTAATTCTCTTGCAAGTCCAAAATCTGCAATTTTCACAAGTTCGGGACCCATACAAAGCAAGTTTTCTGGTTTCATGTCCCTGTGAAAAAAGCCTTGGCAAGACAGAAAGGATGACATCATAAATCATCATGACTTAACAGTTTTATTTGATGTCCAGACAAAATAAAACCGAGCCTCTCTGTTTAAGTAGAAGCATGGTGTTAGGAAATGAAACCATATTTATTACCTAAGAAGGGACGGACTATGAGGAGCCTGCTTGCAAAATGATTTGGCAAGCAAGTTCATGAAGGATGTAAGATGACTGCCCATTCAACCTTTCTTTTTGTGACTCCAGTAGGTTTGGGTGCGGGGATGAGAACGGCCACGGTAGGGTTATCTCCATCCATGCACAAATTTAAGGAAGCTGCAGCCACTGTTATCACCGTCCTGGAATAGCCGGGGAGACTGAGGCCCAGCGAGAAGTAGCCTGTGACTGTTCACCATTATTTAATGGTGCCAACCTGACTGGCAGCCACCCAAGGGACCGGGGGAGCACACTTCTAGGTGCACCTGGGCGGGCTGTGGATGTGTGGCCTTCAGTACTGTATCTGGCCCCTCGCCCTCTCCCCTCTGGCGCTGTTCCCCTGCTCTGCCCCTCAGCCGTCCCAGAAGCAAGCAGCTTGCTCCGCCACGCCCATCTGCCACGCCCATCCGCCATGATGTTCCTGCCTTGGAGCCCACTGACCACATCTGGATTCCCTGAAACTGTGAGCTAAATTAGTCTTCTCTTCCTTCAAGGTGTAAGTGTTGGGTATTGTGTCCCAGCAATACAAAAGCTGACTTCTCTACGGCCTAATTAATGCGTGGAAAATGCTTCCTAATGAAGCTGAAGTCCACAGAGCCATTCTTACTAGTGTCCTGTCACTGTGCAGTTCAATGCCAGATTCCCCGATTATAATCATTTACTTGAAAAGAATGTTAGACATAATGGAAGTGTACATACTCTAACTAACTTCCTCGTTTAAAATTATTTTAACAGCTCGGTTCTTCCTGGTAGCTAAGTCCATCGGGCAGCTAAGTTTTGAAAACCTCAATAGTTACCATGCTTATATTACCAATTCAATATATAAGCCACATGGTTAGTTATACAGGCTAACACACCATCCAGAAGAAAAGGAAGGAGAAAAGCTAGGAAGAAGAAAAAGAGAAAAGCCCTTCTTGCAAATCGGATGGGAAAGGTGTCTGTTCCTATGGGTGGTCTCGAGCACACTGAGGTACACAGAGGACGTGGATTCTGGCGGGTTCGCCAGTTACACAAACTACAGAGGGAACGTGGCTGTAGGATGGGTTGATGATGACGGCCCACAGACTGATGATCAAGGGCTTTCCTCTGTCTTTCTCCTAGGTTTGCTCTGCTATCGAGGCAGACAGCTGTAGATTTCAGATATTCTACTCTATAACAGGATTATACAATTTTAGATAAAAGAGCCACTTTAAGTAGACACATACCACAAACTTGTAAGTTATCTAATATAAAATTATTTAACCGTTGATACACAGTTCATGTGCTTGACCTTGACACTATTCTACAGAGGCAGGGCTATGAGACTTAGAAGAAACCTACCGTGCTTGTGGATAAATGCCAGCCCTTGCAATATCTGATACATAATGTTTCTGATGACCGACTCCGGGAACAGTTTGTTTCTGGAAGAAATGAATCCACAGTCATGAAATTCTGTGAGCCAGCCAGTACAAAGAAGAGAGATATTCTCAAACAGCACAAAGGAGGTAAGATACTCCACTGGCGTTGGCACCTCTGTTGGCTTCATGATACTGACTAAAACTATAATTTATAGATTTTTAGTGTTAAAGGTTATACATTTTTATTCTTATTATCATCATCATTATTATTATTTTGGTTTTTCTGAGACAGGTTTTTACTATGTAATTCAGGCTGGCCTTGCACTCAACATGTAGCCCAGGCTGGCCTTGAACGCATGACGATCCTCTTGCCTCAGCCCCTGAGTGTTGGGATCATAGGCACACACCACCATGCCCACATTAAAGATCATAAATTTAAAATGTGAAAATAGAATTTTTTGTTTTGATGTTTCTTAAGAAGTCAAATCTAAGCAAGAATCATTACACAAAGTTCAACAGCTAAATTCTAAACTGAACCAGAGGAGCAAAGTAAATTGAAAATTGAATCACTCTCAGATCAGATGAATGGCAAAGCTGCATTGTGGGCTCTAAGAATTTTATGAGCATGTGGGCTTCCATTCTATGCCACAAAGTGCTATGGTCAGGAGTATAGTAACAGTCACAAGTGAGTGCCATTTACATTCTTAATTCTAGTACCCACATTTTAAATAGGCAAATGCGGGCTGGGGATATAGCTCAGTGGTGCAAGCGCCTGCTTTGCAAGCATGAGGTTGTGAGTTTGATTCCCAGTACCAAAATAAAAAGTAAAAAAGTAAAAATAAAAAGGCAAATGAAACATTTTTAAATGTTATTTTAAAATTTATTTTAACATTATAGATACATAAAAACCGTACATATTAATGGGTACCATGTGACTTGCTGGGGTAGTGCTAGGCATTGAACTCGGGGCTTGGTACATGCCAGACAAGTGTCCAACTGGGTCCATCCTCAGCCCCCGGGATGTTTCGATACAAGTATATACTGTAATGTTTAAGTCAGCCTGAACACAGCTATCTCCTCAAACATTTATCATTTCTGTATGATGAAAACATCCAGAATCCTTCTAGCTTTTTGAAACATACAACACATAATCGTTACCTACAGTTATCAACTACACGACAGCATCATCAGAACTTCTTACTCCGGTCTAAGTAGCCATTGATCAGCCTTCTCTCTCTTCCTTGTCACTTGATTAATCTTAAACAATACATTTCATTTTAACCTAATATATACCGAATAGGATTCCAATATGCAAATCAGTATATATAATTTTCTTTGTTTTATACCAAGTTTTCGAGACTTGTTATATGATTTATTTTACATCTATAGTGGAGTTCGATTTAGACATTTCAAGGGCTCAGGGGGACACACGTGGCAGTGGCTGCGGTTTTAGGTAGGGCAGTTTTATATGGTACACGCGTAACGTCTCTACAAGGGTTCTGACAAGGCCTAAAGCAAAGCTGCAAAATGTTAACTTCTATCAGGCTACCAGTTACAGTGATTAATAATTAATTCCTCAAATTTTAGAGATTCTGCCCACAGATTTAACAGTCAAGGTCGGAGCTTCTTTGGGGTTGATAACACACTAAGTTTTATCATTCGCTTATGCATTCTAATGAGGGACTTTATCAAATCTTTTCTTGAAAGCTACTTCGCTCCTTTTCTCCTTCTTTCATTAACCTTTCACAAGGTGATAAGAGGACAATGAAGATAATTCCCTCAATTTTGCTGAAGGCCAGCTTTATTGCTATCAGACTATAGAAAGACTTTTATTTTATGTTAAAAAGTAAAATAGCAGATATATTTACATAAAATATTTATCTTGGCCTTTAAGGAATTATAAGAAAAAAGTAGTGGCTGTATCATACTTGGTTCTTTAACTTGTTTTTTTTTGAGACAGGATTTCACTCTGCAGTTCAGGCTGGCAGAGTGAAATCATTATTCAACTCATTATGTAGCCCAAGCTGGTCTTGAACTCACATCCTCCTGCCTCAGTCTCTCAAGTGCTAAGATTACAGGTATGAGCCACCACGCCTGGCATTGGTTCTTTAACATTTAATGTGCTACCATTTAACAAAAATAACAGAACTAATTAAATCTGCCTCTTACAGTGGTAAAACTATATATGAAATATGATACACTGAAAGGATGTAAGGAACTCATGGAAGAAATATTAGGGGAAAATATTGTTTTCCAAAATAAAGACATACCTGTCTTTCATTAACTGATAGAGATTTTCTTTCATATATTCAAATATAAAATAAAGATGGTTATTTTCTCTGATAACTTCTTTCAGTTTAATCACGTTGACATGATTAAGTTTCTTCAGAGACTGCAAAACAGCAAAGCATTCAAATTCTTAATGCAAAGTTACAGAAGTTGGCAAAATCTCATCAATGCTACATATAAATATAACCTCAAGTAATTTTCCATTTTTTAGATTAATGAATTACATTTTGGTTTTGGTTGAGACAGGGTTTTGCTATGTAGATCAGGCTAACCTTAAAACTCCAGGTGATCCTCCTGCCTCAGCCTCTGAGGTTTTTTTGTTTGTTTGTTTGTTTGAGATAGGATCTTGCTATGTTGCCCAAGCTGGCCTCAAACTCATGGCAATCCTCCTGGATCAGCCTCTGGAGTGCTGGGATTACAGGCATGTGCCACCACAAGTTACATTTTAATATCTATATAATTTTAAAAGGTCTTAGAACACCTATTTAAAACAAGTAGTAAATGCTTTAAGTAATGAATATTAATTATAAACATAAAGCCAGTCAACAACAGCTACCTAACATTTTAATCTTTCACTTTTTTCTCTTGGTCTGTCAAATTGGTCTCATTTTTTTTTCTAACAACTATGTAGTATTTTTTTTTTTTTTTTTTTTTTTTTGGTTTTTTTGGTTTTTCTCTGGTACCGGGAACCGAACTCACGACCTTGCGCTTGCCAGGCAGGCGCTTTTGCCGCTGAGCTAAATCCCCAGCCCCAACTATGTAGTATTTTAAAAAGTAAGTTTTTCCTTGAGGATAATATGCATTTAAAATGCTATTTTAATGGGAAAGAGAAATTCAGATGTGAAGGCACAGTTATTTTCAATTCTCCACTAACACCAGAGCAAGAAGAGGTAAGAAATTAGGGAGATAAACAAAAAACATAAACACAGTGATCTTTGGAATGCTTCCTGCAGAGAGCAGAGCAAGGTCCTTAGCTACTGTCCACAGGCTGCAGTAGAGTCACAGCCTTGGTTCTTTTCATCTCTCAGATTTTACCTTAACTTCTCTCAAGTTCATACATTCATCCCAAGAATAGAACTTTCTCTTCATCCTGAAATAAATAAAAAAGAAGGAAACATTTAGTGTATGGGGTTGAGGGTTCCAAGACACAAATTATAGCACTGGTTATACTTTACTACTTACTTTATCATTGATTAGGGTTCTCTTTGGGCAAGTTACGGTCCTTCCCTTTCTTGTGCCTTGAAAGGAAATCCCCTCTGCCTACATCTAAAGGGTCTTGGTAAAGGTCAGGCGCATCATGTCGGACCCTGTGCTTTTAACATGAAGGTGAGCTGCCATTAATCTGCCCTTCTGGGGTCGGTCTTAAAATCGTTCTAATCAATTTAATTGTGTTTTTCTGAAAGGGCCCCTTCCAAATTTCCTCTCTTTCTGGAACGTAAAAAGCATACGTGAAATACTATAGCTTGGAGGGGGACGGGAAAGAATCACAAATTCTGACAGCAAATTTAGTCAATGATGTACTTGATCTCACAACTTTTATATCATTACTTCAGCTTTAGACAAGAGGTCCAATAACATTAAATGATTTAAGTCCGCAAAAATCCAAAAGTAACCAAGCTTTAGAAATATCCACCTTCTTCCCTCCCTCTGTCCCTCTTTCTGATGCTCGCACTGAACCGAGGGCCCTTCTTGAATTCGGTTCTTTACGTCTCCTCTTCCATCTCAGGGCTGGTTACCATTAGACAAACACGTATCAGAAGTGCGTTTACAGTAATAAAGTAATTCCCCCATGTATACCACAGACAGAGGTTATGTTTTTATACATAGGGACTTTTAGTCATCATACAAAATAGGAAACAAAAGAACAAAACAGAACAGGATTCATGTTCTAAAAATGTTTCTTCTGGTGTGGAAATTACGAGGCTATATTGTCAACAATAAAAGCCAAATGTATTATTCTACTGCTTTCACGTCATATTATAATCTGTTGAGATGTCCTAGAAGATCCTCAGGAAGCTTAAAGTTACTTTATTAATTACAGGAATTCTTCTAATCCAGAGCCTCTCCAAGGGTGTAACAGACACAAGGAATGAAGCACAGAACTCGCAGCATAAAGTTCTTAGGTGGGCTGGGGAACTGCATGGCCCGGAAGCAGAACTGCATGCCCCGGAAGCAGAACTGCGCGGCCCAGAAGCAGACCCTTGCTCAGTCACTGTATGACTTTAGTCAAGTTATTTAAGGGCCCCCCGTGCCTCACAGTAACCGTAAAGTAGAAACTACTGAACAAGAAGAGCTATTGTAAACTGCTTAGGTTTGACAATTAGTAAGTACTAGACATTCAGTTTTTAAAAACAATTATCTACAGTCTACTACGAGACATGAAGAACATCAATGCTACCATTTCTAAAAGATCCTTAAAGAGTGAGAATTTCATCGATAGTCATTCAGACACTAGAAACCTATGAAGCAACTTGATGAAACTGAATTTACCAGTTTACCTGGCCATGCTTTTCCAGTGCTGTGGATTAAAATGTCTTACTGTAACGCAAAAGATAAATTTAGCATAACGATGAATTTAAAATAAAAATCAATTCAAATATATCTGTAAAAATAGTTTAATAAAATGATTACATCCATCCCAAATTACACATATAATCTGCTATTTTTTTTTTTTTTTTTTGTCTTTTTGAGACAGGGTCTCGCTATGCAGTTCAGGCTGGCCTTGAGCTCACTCT